TGGTTGGACTAGGAAACCCTGCACTAAGGAGGGAGGTTAAGCCTGGACTGGCTTCTCGCACAGCAGGGAAGGCTCTTGGTACGGTGAGAGCCTTGGAGTGAAAAGGCTCCGGGGCAATCTCTACAGCCAAGGGAGAGAAGGGTGTGGGCCGTGCCGTGCTAACCGGAGCTTACTGAAGGGGAAAGCAGTCTCCAAGGTTCCCCAGGCCTCGGTGGGTGAAGATGTGAATGAGTTTGCCAAGACCTGCAGAGGGCTGAGGTGTCAGAAAGAAAATGGCCAGAATGAGCTCAGTCTAACTAGACAACCACGTCCAGTGGCCTTGACTCGTTCTGCCCCTTGGCTTCTTAGGGGCAGTGTGGTGCAGTGGTCAGGGAGTTAGTGACCCTGGATTGCAGCATTGGCTCTGCCTGTGCCGACCCTGTAGTCTTGTCCTTACCATTTGCCACTTTGAGCTCAGGTACTTCATTTGCCAAAGACAACATGGAGATGGGACACCACCCAGCATGAATGGAACTTGGCTGTTTAGAGAATGGACATTTTTGAATCCTGGGAGCTGACCTTCCCAGTGATCCTGTTAGGATGTAGGCTCTTCCCATTAGATGCACTGGCCATCTGACAGCATGGTTTCACGTTGCCCCAGAGTTGGGATTTCCAGGCTTGGGCTGCCCTAGTCCATGGGAAGGCTTCGTGTAAATTAGACAAGGCACTTCAAGACACTTCACTGCCACCTGCTGGACAATTGTTAAGATGTACACATCTACTGTGTAGTGAATATACAAAATTCCTAGGGTGTGACTGGCACCCCTCAAATGTGCTATTGTGTAGCATGCAGCCGGCACAAGAGATCTTGGGAGCCCTGATTCACTGGCCCTGTAGAGATTTTTGTGGGAGATCTAATTTATTTTAATAAATGACTTTTCTACTTTAGTTGATTTTTGACTAGGAACACAACTGATAAACGTGGGGGTGACGGCGATACATACCTCAAAAGACCAAATAATCTGAGAAGCCACAAGGCACCTGTGTTACCAGGGTTCATGCTTTATTAATTTTTCAAGGAGGGAGGCTGACTCACTCTATCTTCCTTCCTCATTCCAGGAACCCATTTGTTTATTCTTTTGCTTTTGTTGTCAGGGTCAGAGTTCATGGTCAAAGGGAAGAACTATATTGGATGAAAATGAGTTATAAATATCCCAGCAGGGAGACTTGTTGGGGAAATGGCTGTGCAGGTCTTGTCCATGTACTGCGTGTCTCCTCTTGTTACCAGGAGAGGTGACATCAGCCTGTGCATCATGTCTCTGATGACCGGGTGTGGGCACCGGGGTGTGGGGCAAGTCTGGTTGCAGCTGAAGTGGTCAGTCTCTGGTTTTCCAGGAGAGATTGGAGCTCTGGTCCCCCTATTTGTCAGGCCCTTTCTGGGCTCATTTTTGGAGGGGAGTGGGGTTAGGTCATGTGGGCACCACAGTTCCAGGTTCCCATAGGCGGTGCCCAGAGTGTGCCCTGGAAGGAAAAGGAGCAGGTTCCCTCCAGGGAATCCTCCTTCCATCAGTTTATGGAAATGCACGTCTGACTCATCCTCAGCCTTCAAACCTGAAAGGGGGGAGAGGGGTCATTTTCTTGCTTCCTGTATTCTCTGGGGAGCAGGAGGACAGAAGTCTGGCTGGTGCCAGCCCCCTGGGTGACTTCAAGGCCTTTCTACCTGAAGGAGCCGCCCTTGTTTGTTGCTGGAGGCCTGAGTGGCTCGCAGCACCCTGATGTCTTTCCACCCTGGGCGAGGAGCCGGGTGGCCAGGGCCAGGAGAGGGAGCCTGTGAGCCACAGTCAGGCCTAGTGACTCCTGCCAGGGCCACTTCTGGAGGCTGGTTGGACTGGGAAGACAGAGAACAGATGTCTACATAAGGAGGGGAGCTGAGGGTGGGAGGTGGGGTGGCCAGGAACAGGGGAGAGGGGAGGGCCGGGTGGCTGGGAGCTGGGGAGGAGGCCACTGGTAACTGACCTCTTTGATTCTAGAATCTGTTCTCAGCGACTCTGACACTCAGTGGGTTGCATTGACCTCCTCGGTGCCCTGACAGAGCTCCCAGCAGGGGGACTGGCTTTTTGGGCCAGGCCACATGTGACAACATCACCTCCTTGCTCTGTTCTTACATCCCTGTTGAAGCCCAGTGCCACCTGGTGCTCAGAAGGGACCATCTGCCAAGGGTACACCCCGTCATGCCCTTTCCTGACAATGTCCCCTTGTGCCCAGCTGCCAGCTCTACAGTGAGTTCAGAGGGCCCTCAGGAAGGGCAAGGCGACAAGGTCCCTCCCAGGAGAGGGGGAAGGGCCGAGAAGGGGGCCTTTGCCCTGCTTACCCAGGGGCAGGTCTGGGATCAGATACAGGACAGGACAGGGGCAGGGGCAGGGTACTTCCTGTTGGCTCCTTCCTCCCTCGTGGCCATTGGGAACTCTAAACAAGGGTCAGGGACTTTTCTATCGACCCCCATTATTTCTCTGGCCCCTCATTTCTGAAGTCACCTGGTGCGGGAGGTGGGGGAGATCATGATGTGGCCCTGGACCAAGTTAATGTTGTGAAATTGTCCTGACTCTTCTTTTTGACCTGTTTCTACTTTCTGGCAGTTTTCTTTCTGGCCATAAGGAAAAGGGACACGCACACACGCACACACACACACAACCTTTTCAGAAACCAGATGGAAGAGGCCTAAGGGGCCATCTAGAAGACTCCCCTTCCCATGCAGGAACATACTCTCCAGCATTTTTGAAAGGCAGTGTTGAACCTTTCCAATGATGGGGAGCTCACCCCCTCACAAGGAACCTCTCTTCTTCTTGGACCACTCTAGATGTAAGGAAGTCATCTCCCTCCATTTGGGCGCCCCGTTGCTTCCTGGATCCTCTTCCTGTTGTTTTGAATTGGTCAAACTCTCGGCCTAACCCTTCCCCATCCATCACACATGTACAAGCCCCAAGGCCTGTTTTGATGTGTCCCTTAGGCTTATTCTGCAGGCGAAGGTGCTCTTGTTTCTTTGGCCTGTCCTCTGAGGTCTCATCCTCCTCTCTCACTCCGTTATCGTTTGGATATGAGGTGTCTCCCCCAAAACTAATGTGGTAGACGATGCAGGGCTGTTCAGAGATGAAATGTTTAGATTACGAGAGCTGTAACCTACAGTGGGTTAATCCGTTTGATGGGCTAATAATTTGAATGAACTAGCTGGGAAATAATTATTGGCAGGTGGGAGGAAGGTGGCTGGGAGAGTTCCTTTGAACTCTATCTGTTCCTGGATCCCTTCTTGCCTGCCCCACTCCCTTTCCCAGTTGCTAAGAGCTGAGCAGCTCTCCTCTACCACATCCTTCCGCCATGATATTCTGTCTCACCTTGGACCCAGAGCAGTGGAGTTGGCCCATCATGGACGGAACCTCTGAACCTTTAAGAGTCCAAAATAAGTTTCTTCTCATCTAAGGTGTTCCTATCAGGTATTTTGGTCACATTAATGAAAAGCTTATTAACACACCCCCTTTTCCCTTCCCTGGAGGTCCTATGTCATCAGAACCCCAACATCTTGGGCCTGGTGAAACAGACCCCACCTGCTGGGGCTCCCTGGAGTTTCCACCTGGCTGGAGCTAGGAGGCTTTACTCCTGTGAAGATTTCAGAAGCAGCAGAGGTTGGGGCTTGCTGGGCCCAGTGCCGTACCCCTTCTCCATCTTCACCTTCTTCCCTTAGTGGATACTCCCACCCCCCATCCCCAGAATGAGCTTCACACAATTCCAGGAGGCCAAGGTATTAGAGTCCCATGGCCAGAGTTCCTGCTCTGGGCGGTGCTTGTCCCTGAGCTTAAGGGGAGCCAGGGAGCATGCTGACTTCACCAGAAGATTCAAGGGGAAGGCAGGTCATTTACCTGATGAGTAGTTTAAGTCATCTTTTGAAAGACATTATTTTTATATTAAGATAAATGCAGATGCTATGTCTTAGAGTGGAGAGGCCTGGATTTCAAAACCACAACAGGAGCAGGACCCGACAGGAAGGTGGCTTCTGGCTATTTCATTAGACTTTAGCTTCCAGTCCGTCAACCAGCTGGTCCCTTTGATGAGGGGCATTTGGGTGGAGAATTCGGGAAAGTTCCTTTGGTTCAAGAGGTCGGGAAAGCAAGGCACAGAGGAGGAGAGTGGTTAGTCTGAGGGTACACAACTCAGAAGAGTCAGGACTCAAAATCCAGACCTGTTCCTCGTCCCTGTACCAAGAAATGCTGCATATGAAGTGCCCACCACAGGGAGAGAGGGAATGAAAACAGAAGGGGCTCACAGTTAAAGTCCTCAATTATACAGAAAATGCTCCACATTGAGTTGACCCCATCTAATGACAAATACATTTCCTTACCGCCTTCAGGATCTAGCATCCTCTGGTCGGAAAGAAGCTCAGGTGAGAAAAGGAAAAGAAGCCCGACTCCATTCCTGGGAATGAGGGAGACACCAACATGGCAGGGAGGTCAGCTGGAGGCCACTCGGGCACTGAGACAGGCAACTGGTAGAACTGGCTGGAGGACCACAGTCAGCAGCCAGGACTTTCCCTTGCTCACACCCACAGGCTGCACCTGGGCACGTGTGTGCGTGCATGCACACACGCACACCTGGTGCTTGGGCTCACAGATACCTGAACACTTATGATCTAAGGGTGCTGCCCAAAGCTGAAATGTGTGAGATGATGGAGAGCTGAGCTCCGGTCTCCCCCGTCCCTCCAAGCACCCAGATACCTGAAATGAGAATCCAAAGGGGGATATCAGACTTCCCCAGGGAGTGAGGCAAGCAGAGCTTGTGTTTCCTCAAACACTGTTCTTCAAATGATTAAATAAGGGTCAAAGGTTTATATTTCTGTAAAGGTGTCTTTGACACTATTGTGGGACACTCAGTAGCCTAAACCTTAAGCACCGAACATCTACAGATTGGCTTGTTGTCCCGTGAACTTCCCACAGTCACAACTCACAGAAGTGCGACCCCCAAGAATAATTTAATCAAGTCAATGAATACTGTTTAATAAATAGGCCAGAAAATTAGCTGAGAGTTTGCTTGGTAGGATGCAGCGTGCGACCAAAGTTATGGAAGATTGTCCCTTGAATCACTAAGGCAAACTTTTGCTGAGTGTCATTTTACATAGAGCAGTCACATAAAAAGAGTTATAAATAGAAAAAATTCCAAAGTTCTCCCACAGACAGAGAAATCAGAAACATTAAAAAAAAAAAAAAGTTGAAACAAACAAAACACATCCAACCCCCTCCCCCGACGACCCATTTGCTTCAAGTTCTTGATCATACAGTACTCGACATCTTTGGATATTTTACAATATACAACTCCAAACTGCAGCCAAGAAAAAACAGAAAGAACTAACCAGTCATCTGAAAAACTGAGTTTATAAGAAGTCATTACCTTTACAAAATAAAAACAAAAGCCCCAACACCACCGGATTCCAGTTACTTTTTTTTTTTTTTTTTTTTTTTTTTTCAAGTTTGGTTCGGTCCCAGTCCCTTGGCTGATGGGAGGCATGAGCCATGTTGGCTGGCAGGTCCCAGACAGAAGCATTGGAAATGGAGCCTGGAATCCCAGGTAGAGGATGGCAGGGAAGATGGGGACAGGATATGAGGCCATTCTGCCTGGCTGGAATGGCAGCTGGTGGCACAGGGAGGAGTCTGGGAGTCTCTTCTGGGGAGCTGGGAGAGGGACAGAGTCTGTGGTCTTCTCTGGCCTTTTTGTTAATTTTTGTTATTTGTTCAGGAAAAAGCCAAGGCGATAGGAAGAGCCAAGTCTCTTGCAACCACAGCTCAGGGACTGGGGGCTCCAGCCCTGGGCCCTCTGGGCGGATGCACTGTCCTCTCTGGGCTACTGAGAAACCAAAGCAAACTCAGCAAGAAAAAGAAGGGAGGAAAAGGAGAGAGCAGTCAGGAAGGCACTGGGCCAGCAGAGCTGTCTTCCTTCTCAGGATCTGCCACCAACCCCAGGGCTAGGACAGGATGGGACATCCTAACTAGGGGACATCGTTCAGGCCCCAAAGGCTACTGCCTTCTACCTTGAGCTCTTTTCTCAAAATGGGGATGGGGTCCAATATGGCAGCTTCATCCAGGAGGGTGGAGGAAGGGAGGGAGGGGCTCAAGCACAGCAAAGGGGCCATCACCAGCAACAGCAAGGCCCAGAGAGCCCCCAACTCGAGAAGCGAAGAGGTGACCCCTGGGTAACTATGCACTTTGTGTCTCTAGGAGTCAGGGTGAAGGTAGGCAGCTGCTAGGTGTTGAAAGCAGGCCCTAGCCCTTCAATTTGGCCCCACAGGTTCCAAGAGATTCTGTACAGCCTTGGAGAGGGCATGTGGGGTGGGACAATGCTGACTGGCGTTCCCAGGGGTCCAGACACTAACAGTGGCCTGTAGGGAAGTAGGGAAATGTGAGCCCCCAGAGCTGCCTGTGGACAAGCAGTGATTCCGGCCCCACCTCTCTCTCATTCTCATCTGGTTGGGCCACATTTCTCACCTATGCTAACAGTGCTAAGACTGAAGTGGAGGTGATAATACTAAGTCCAGTAAGAGAAGCGGTTTCCCCAGGGACTTTGGGATGCAAGCCTTCTACAGTTTCAAGGACTCTCGTTGGAAGGTTGGCGTGTATGAGTGTGGTGGTCAGGGGAAAGGACACTAAATCACCAACCCCTTTCATAGCAGGTGACACGGAGGCACAGAGGGTTGACCTGTCCAAGGTCACAGGATAGGGAAGAAAAAAAATGGGCCCAGACTCCAGTGGCCTGGCTCCTGGCTCTAGGAGGCCTCCTTGCCAGTAAGGCATTTCATTCTGGGTGGCAGGCAGGCATTTCTCTGAAGGATCCCGGGATGTCTGGAGACTAGGATACCATCCTCAGAGCAGGGCTGGGAGGGACCCCCCATAAGGCAGTGGGGAGCCAAGCAAGATGTGTGCCCAGGATACTGCCCTCATTCCTGCTCACCTGGCCTGCCTTCCCGCCAAGAAATCCCCTCCTTATAGCTCTACCTGCTTCCAAAGTGTTCCTATGCACCCAGCCATGTGGCCCTCCTCTGTGGCATGGGCCCCTGTGAGTTTCTGTGCAAGACAGATAAATAGCCAAGGAGAGGAGGCCCTGCTCCAGGATCCCTGGGAGGAGATGCCCATCTCAGACACCAGCAAAAGGGAGGTGGCTGCCTTGGAGCCCTGGAAATACAATCCTGCTAGTGTGTATTTTCTCGTTTTCCCTTTGTGTTTGTGAAATAAAGGTTCAGACCCACTGGGTGGGGCAGGCTGGGCCTGCTGGGAGAGAGGACAGGGCTGGCCAGCTGGGGTTGACCAAGGCCAGCCTAGTTGTTGGCTTCTGAGATGGAGGCCACGTGGTTGAGGCCAGCGAGCCCTGGGAGGCCGGCCAGGCCCGCGGCCCAGGGGTCCGGCAGCGGGAAATAGGGCCGCGCGGCGGCCACGTTCTCGGCCAGCGCCAAGGCCAGGAGGCCGCCCGCGTTCCTCTCGGCCTCCAGCTGCGCGCGCCCGAACAGCTTCATCTGCGTCTCCTCGAACTGCCGCTCCAGCTCCTGCAGGCTCAGCGCGCCCTTGGGTGCCGCCAGGAAGTGCTTGGTGGGGCTGGGGCCCGGGAGGCACACGGCGGCGCCGCCCAGGTGGCCGCCCACCTCGCCCAGCGCAGGTGGCATCACGAAGGCCGCCTTTTCGGGCGCTGGGCCGCCAGGGCCAAAGAGCAGGCTGGCGGCCCTCCAGGCGGCGGGTTTGCGGCCGCGCCGGGGCCGGGCCATGCGGCAGCTCTGGCGCTTGATGTGGCGGTGCAGGTGGTCGGAGCGCGTGAAGCTCTTGTAGCAGAACTCGCACTGGTAGGGCCGCACGCCCGTGTGGATGCGCATGTGGTTCTTGAGGTCGTAGTTGTGCACAAACTTGGCGTTGCAGTGAATGCACAGGTAGGGCCGCTCCCCTGTGTGCTTCCGCATGTGGATCTTCAGCTTGTCCTGCCTGCAATGCAGAACCCGGGAGTCAGTCTCTGCTAGGAACACTCTTCAAGGCCCCTTACTTGCCCTTCTTCCAGAACTGGCTAAGGCCGCCTATTGTCTAGTGTCATAAACCCCAGGAGTGTTGCACATGCTAGGATCTACCTTTAACTAAGGCCACAAACTTCTGCCCCACTCCAAACAGGTGTAGCTCCTCACCTGGATTAGAGGGATAGTAAAGGAGCAGTGTCCTGGAAGACGCCCCTCCCAACTCCCTTTACACACCAGTACAGGTAATGAATCACCCCACTGTTTATCAAAGGCCTGTCTTACATACTGGAAAATAGATTTACTGGGGAAGATTTGTACCCCCCAAATCAGCTTCTGGGCCTAGCCCTCTGCTGTGCAGCAACTGCTCGCGATAATGGGTTGTACTTTAATCTCACACCCACTCTTTCCAAGCAACGGCCTTCCTTCTGGGCTCATCCTTGTACTTTCGTGCTCGGGTCTCGGTCCCATCCCAGCCCACAGGCTGTTGAGATCTGTCTGTCCTCAGCACTAATCTGCAGGCTCTAGAGGCCCGGCACACCTTGCTCAAGCCTCCTGCACTGTGGTTTCTTATCCTAAGCCCTGGGCTCTCTCCTCTTTGTCTGCAGACAATTTCAGGGTTTACAAAAGAGCCAGGTGCAGCAGGAATGCAGCCTAATCTTGGGCGAAGCTTTTTGGGATTTAGGAGTATTATTCAGAGGTAAGGCATGGCCTAGGTGGGGCTCCCATGGGGGTCTGGCAGCTCCTGCTCTATCCGCAGACCCTCACCAGTTTGCCGGGTGATCTTAAACAAGTTATGTAACTTCTTGGCACAGAGCAGAATTTAGGGCCAGACATCACTCCCCATTGTCTGGAACCCATGAAGAGCCTGGGTTTGTGTGAGCTACAGTCAACACACCTCCTGGTGGTCTTGAAAGGAAAACTGGCATCCTGGGATTGTTTTCCTAAGGTCTGAGAGCTCAGCACAGCCTGGCCAAGGTGGAGGCAGCCGGGTGGGCGGCAGGAAGTCCTCTCAGGATTATTTTGTATTTCCCCCAGATGGCCAGGAGGCCAGGCAGCCTGCATATGGTTTCCCACCTCCTTCCCGCAGGTGTGGCTTGGGTGGAGTCTCTGCCTGTAATTTTAGGCTCAGCTTTGAGGTCAGAGCAGATGTGGATCCTAAGTATCCTCCCTAAAATGGCCAGATTTAAATCACCCTTGGTATAACCCCAGGATATAGCAGGAACTGCCTTGGTGTTCCGTGGCCACTAGAGGTCTCACTGGCTCTCATTAAAAAGGGATGGAGTAGGAGAGAAGAGAATCTTGTGAACACTGGTGGTGGGAGGTGGACCAGAGAGCGGAGGGCTTCTGGGAGGTGGGGAGGGAGAGTGCATAGTGGGTAGGGAGAGAAGGGGGAGGAAGGGGGTCTTACTGGTCTTACTGATTGAAACAGGTTAGTCTCCTCCACATACCAGACCCTCTTTTCTCCCACAACCCACCAGCCTTCCCTGCTGTGATTGCTGCAATACCCCTGCCCACCCCAGTTGCTCACCACCCTGGTGGTAACTGTAATGCAGACCATTGGAGATTTGAGCAGAAAGGGGGCCTTTAAGGGCATCCAGGTTTGTGGGTCCCACACTTGAGTGTTGCATGAGAACTAGTATCAAGACTTGATATGACAGAGTGCTGGGTGCCTCCCACAGCTCCTGATTCAGTTCTGGGGTGGACGAGGAGCAGAGCGTTTGCATTTCTACAAATTGCCCGATGCTGCTGTGGCTGCTGGTGGTCCACGGACCCCACACTGAGAATCACTGGCCCCAGTGAATCCTTCACTCTGTAGGTGGCACACTGAGGCCCAGTGAGGGAAACTGGCTGAGATCACCAGAGGGTAATGGTGGAGCTGAGACTAGAACTCAGGCCTAGGAGGCAGGGCCTTTTTTCTCACCACGTCTCTGTGAACTGTGCAAAAACATAGAGATGTGGGGGGCAGAGTGCCATTTCTATCCCATAGTGTGCTTTCATTGTACTCTACAAATTCACCAAGGCTCTGATGGCCACACGGATGGTGGACTAGCAGGCTCACTTACTGGCTCACTCCCTCACCAGGCCTGGCAGAGGGCTCCACTCAGAACCATCAGTCACCTCATTTAGTCCTTACCCCAGCATTAGGATATGTGTGTATATGTATGCACATATCCAAATATACACACAAATGTGTGTGTATGTGTGTGTGTGTATTTTTTGTGTGTTTGTGTGTGGGGGGGTACCAGGAACTGAACAAAGGGGCACTCAACCACTGAGTCACATCCCCAGCCCTATTTTGTATTTTATTTAGAAACAGGGTCTCATTGAGTTGCTTAGTACCTTGCTTTGGCTGAGGCTAGCTTTGAACTTGTGATCCTCCTGCCTCAGCCTCCTGAGCCACTGGGATTACAAGTGTATACTACCATGCCCAGCCTATATGTGTGTATTTTAAAATCACTATTACACACAGTTCATAGTATTGATTGTTTGGGTAACTCTCAAACAATAGATGATGTGAATGGTGAATCTTCAAATGTCTAGGGCCTCCCTATAAATATCTACAACTTCTCTCAAACTTTCATTAGGGCATCTAAAATAAATCAGTGGCAATGTAGGGCATCTTGATGACCCTTTGTTGAGTACTTGCTCTGGGCAGGTGAATGCACTATGTTAATGACTCTGGAAAGGTTGCTATTTGGAGGCAAATATTTTCACCATAAGGACTCCTGGCCTGCAGCCTACGAGGGCTGGTCTGAAAGTACAGACTGCAACCATTGAAATAGGGCAGGGTGGGTGAGAGGAACCCCTCCCTGGGCAGAGCTGTCTTCCCCTGATGGAGAGTCCAGAGAGCTGGGTGCGGGGTGCAGAGAGTGGGCAGAGCTTAGGACAATCTAGTCCTGGGAAAAACGCTAGAGATCATGGAGCTCACCAGGAGCACTGTCCCCATACTCAGATTCAGTGTCTGAGTCCCAGGGTCCAGGCACCTATGTCATCAGCAGTGCACTTCCCAGAACCCTGAAAAGGTCCCAGAACTTTGAAAAAGTCCCCAGAACCTGATGGAGTCCAACTCCCTTACTTCCAAGATAAGATAAGCAAGGACCAGATGGGGAATGGCATTCTAAGGTCACACAATCTCCTTCTTCATGTGATGACCTTTCCACATGGATGTCATGACAGGTGGGTTGGCAGAGCTTGGCCTGGGTCAGGAGTGCCCCAAAGAGCCAGACCAGGTTCACTGCCTGGACCTGTTCCCTGACCTGTAAAGTGGGAGCCGGTCTGTACCATTTAACCTCTGGTGTTCCAAGAGTGTTTGCATCTGGGTAATGGGGATTTGAGGAATCTCTTTCCCATCCTGTTTTGTCTGGTTGGCTCCGTGCACGAAGCTCTTCTATTCTTGTTTCTCTGTGAATTTGGCCTGTTTATGAGCAGTGTGAGTTCTGCTGGGATGTGCTCAAGTATGGGTCTCAGACAGTGAGTGGGCTCTTAGTTATCTCTTCCTGGGGTCTGACTTAAAGGTCCCAGGCTCCCACTGGCCTTGTGCTAACTTATCCCTTAGCTTGGAACTTAAAGCTCTTTTAAACTCTCTCTGCTCCACTTTGCAGCATCCCCCACCCCAGCACTGAACCTACGTGCTGCATGGATTATGCTGTTCTCTCAGGCCACACTCTAGCCAAGCTTGCATCTTGGAACACCTGCCTGCAGAACTGGACTGTTGATCCCCCAGTACAGAGCCAGCCACAGGATGGAGGCTCTTATAAACCCTGGCTCCTTTCCCTGGGGCCTATCTGGTGTTTGCACACTGATACTCCATCCTGGGGGCCCTCCCAGAAGGTCAAGGCCAGGTATCAGTGTGCTCCTTCCTTCCCAGCCCTAAACCCCCTGTTTCAGCCCTCCACCACCCTGCACCTAATTCCTTCATCTCCTAGTTTACTCTTTCGAACTGCCTTGCTAGATGTCTCATGCTCCAAATCCCCCTAATGCTTCAAGGTCAAACTCAAGTGTAGTTCTGTGCTGTCCACCCAGGGCTGTTGCTCAGCTCCCTGATTTTCCATGCATCTGTTGCCTAAGCATTGCCCTTTGAGGCAGGTTACCTGAGGGACAAAGTGGGAGCAACTAGAAAAGATGAGGTGGCATTGGCTCTTCTTCTGTCCCCTGGTAGTCTCATATGTGTCTGCATTGTCCTTCCAGTGGGTCAAGAGCCAAGGAGGACCAATACACCACACATGCATTGCCTGAGGCCCTGCGCCAACCTCCAGCATTCCTGATAGGTGAGAACACCTGTCCAGAGGCTGTCTTGGCAAGGCCTGCCTTTACCTTGCATGTGTGTGCTGTTTCCAGGACAAGGGCCACTGTGTGGCTGACTCCTTGCATGCACACACTGCTCATCCCTGCCCCTCCCCACCAGAACCAGAAGCAGCAAGTGATACAAATTCTAGCAAATGCAAAAAGCTCCAGACCTCACGGACATTCCCCTTAGTACTGATTGTCGCATGGCTCAGGTGCTTGCTTCAGCCGTGAAGGCCAAATGGAATCAGGAAACTGGGAGTGACCTTAGGGGGCATCTATCTACCCCCATAAGTTTCACCTGGGAACCCGAGGCTGAGAGAGGGTGACACAGTTAGCAGAAGCAGAACCAGGCCCTGAACCTGGGCCTCCTGATGACCACTCTGGTGCTCTTTCCAAAGTCCCACAATCCGCTGAGAGACACTGGGCCCTGCATGCATGCATTCATTCAGTGACAGTTACTCTGCACGGTGCTTCCTGCAGCCTTCACCCAGCACCTGGCAAGGAGGGTGCTGGAACCCGCTTTGAGAAGCACTTGTTGGGTGCTCTTTTGAACGTCACAAGGTGCCCAACACTGAGCATAGGCAGAGTGAGCGCCAGTTACATGTGTGTTGATGACCAGTGGCCAGCAGGGCTGATTCCAGAACTCCCCAGCCCTAGGTCTGAGCCTCCTCCCTGACCTTCATTCTG